ATCCCATATTTCAGTCTAGGCCTTCTCACTGATAATAGAAAACCATGAGTCATGGCCAGGATGCGAAAAAAACAACCACACAGAGGTCATGCTTGATGAATCTGCGCCCATTCCACCGAAAATTAAAAGAGCATTACCCAATCAAATGCCTAATGCCACGTCCGGCGGCAGCGACTTCTGCATCTCTTTCATCTCTACCACTTACAATGGTTGTCTGCACCACCGCCGCATTGCAAGTCATAGCCCCCTTTAAATTAATGAACTTGTCTCACTTATAGCCAATAGAGAGGCCCCACATCTTTGGCTAATTGGGGGTGTGCTTTGATCCACCCATCATTGCTAACTGCCAAACGGCACCTTTGCCTGACCTCATGTCATGCATCGCCTTCCTCACTAGGGCTGGTGTCCAGTGGAAGAGATACCACTTGGAGCCCTTCAATAGAGCTTCTCTCTCCATTTGTTTGAGCGCTTTAACTAATCGGTCAAGGAAATCATTTCAGCAGCACTAAAAATAGGGAAGTTGAGAGGAGAATAGACTGCTATGATCAGTACAGTAACGACAGACGCAATTTTACCAAGTAAATGCAAGCTATAAACAAGTAAAATCGGATTACATCGTTTTGCACCATCTTCCACAATTCCTTTAAATACTGAAAAACTGGGCATCATTAAGGTCCATCATGTTGCTAATACGCTAAGGAGCCTTTACTGCTGCCCATTGGATCCCATTAATCAAAGCGGGAACATCCTAAGTGGTTTAAGCTCACGATAAAGACAGAACAATGAACTAAGCGGCATAACAATCCCCACGGATGACCGGATTTGCTATATTTGCTGACTTTGACTTAGAAATTACACACAGACAAACAGAAAACTTGCAGTCAGATGGCCAAGGAGCTCAGATTTAACGTCTGCAAGTTGTTTGCGAAATTCACAAGCCCAATTCACAGTCAGCAGACTTAAATGACATTTTGTAAAAAGAGGCTTCGGAATAGGAAAGTGGTAAGTGCCGCACACTCAAGGACACTTGATCCACTCAACAACTTACGACAGGTTCGGATTTCCTTAATCAACTAGTAAGTTAGATAACTACGCTACATTCTCGCTATTGCGAGAAACTGCAGTTATTGTCCATGGTAGAGATCCGGAAGAATAATCTTAACTGGAACACTGACACGTGGGAATTCACCTTCCCAACGTATTTGAACAAAATAAAGTGCGCCACAATTAATTGTGAAGACAACGTTGACTGAATGCGACAATTTTATTATTAATTTGCATTAATAACACCAACATGAGGGAATAAAATCTTGTTCATGTTCATCGCGATCTCTGAAAATTGGAGTTAATGTTGACTTGAGAGGTGTCGGATAACAATAATGTACTCACTGCACAGAAGGTCGCTTCTCGTCTCTGCAGACGTCACTGGCTCATCAATGGGGTCGACAACACCTATCCCCAGCTCCACGAAGCACGTCTCTGCGTTCAATGCAATTGCACTCACACCTCTTAAATTGATGAAAGCAAATTGCTTCGTTAAAGTTACCAGTTCAATTTACTTACAGACACGCCACATTACGGGAATTCCCTAATCTCTATGAGAAACTGTCTAGGGAAAAAGTACCTGTCTTAATGTAACAATCCTTGCGTATGACTCATTTACAGGAGAGCAGTACCTGACGTTGAGGCAATCCAACAGGAACTTCCTTCAAGCAAACTTATGTCGCCCGACTTGGACCAAATAATTTTTAGTAAAAGTATAACAGCAAAGATTACAATTGTAGGGTTTAATTTCATAATTGAGCGTAATTTGACGAACAAATTAAAAATACAACTGCAAACGTTGAACTCAAAACATGTCACATAATATTCAAGTGGGCATGCTTGCCAAAGGGCAATACATATAAAAGAAGGGTGACACACTCTTCGAGCAAAGTAACAGCTTGAAAAGGCACAGATTTACCTCTGCGACTGCCAGTTTGCCTGAAGGCTCGGGAAGTGCTGGCAGCAAAACAGTCGTGAGTTTCACCGACAGCCACTTCACAGAGGAGAAGGCAGCCCTGGGAGGTACTGGGCGAGGTACAGCAGTAATTAGCGGATTTGCTCGCCACGTCAGAGAAGCAGGCGCCCTTGCTCAACAAATACCCTGTCGAAGGCGCCTCAAAAGGTGCTATTTGCAAACCTTGTGCCCTACCAAGCAAGAAGGACGAGGGGCTCACAGATAAGCAATTATAGTTACTTAAATAGATTTAAGTGGAAGAAGAGTACTCACAGAATGCCTATCCGGTTTATGGGACGAGAACAGCGCCAGAGCAACATGCGATTGTCCAGCGCCTTTATACTCTCCGACTCCCCCTCCCTCAAGAAAGGTGTCTATCGCCTCCGCAGTATAGATGAAATGCGTTGGAGCGTGAGTGATTTACAGGTAGTTCGCAACCTGTTCAAACTTCTCCAGGTCCCGATGAAGGTCTGACGGTACAATCAGAAGAGAGTCGCTATTAAGACATTGACGATTAACTTGATTAAAAAAGCTCAATGTACAGACCTCAATCTGATTCTTGAGTTCCTCATAGTGCTCATCAAGAGGGTTGACGTCAGAGACACTAGCCTTCATGAGGAAATAGGCTACATTTAGATTCAGTCATTCATCTAACATTCGAGACTTGGTTTCCATCACCTTCAAGCTGTACAACAAGGGTAGCACCTTCAAACCAAAGTCGTGCAGAACGCGCGCATCAAAGCGCATTGTGCTGCCAATATAGCTACTCATGTCTAGCCCTTCGATCAGCATTTTCGAAGCTAGTAATTCAGAAATCGCTTAAACACCATAGGTTGCCTGAATCATCTGCTCTCGTGACATCATCCACAATGGCATTACCGAAACATCTACTTAAAAAGGACACAAATTGGGATGCATGCTCGAACCCTTTGTGAGAGCTTGACATTACGAGTCAAGACCGACCTCAAACTCCAGCAGGGCATTAGTCATTAAGGCGATGTCGAAAAGGAAAGAAATGAGCTTCTACCGTCGAGTTCTAAACTCGAATAACACCTGATGCATAAGTTTTAGCTTTTCACCGTTCTCATCGTTCCATGCAACGAGATAGGATGGTCGTAGAAATCCCTACAAATATCTCCAAAAATGTACATGGATTCTGATTTACTCAGACTGATGTGCAGAAGCGCTAAAAGGAGTGCTACTATAAAGAGGGGTTTTGAAACCACCCTGTGTTGCAAGCTAGTATGAATCGAAGCGCTCTTGAGACAACATACCACCCACAGATAAATTTGCACCAAATTCGACAAAAAGCGCACTACACATCATGTTGTCTTGATAAGATATTCACGATAACATTTTCACCTTACAAACACAAGTCGTTTCATAACATCAGAATACACTCGCAAAAGGACGAAGGCTGCATAACGATAGGAGAGCTGCGAACTAAACAGTAAAACTCTAGAGTGGTTATTTTCAGCAGCCTTCGCCATTTCATCCATATTCCGAGTTCAACATCAGACAGTTCTACATCAAACAGGCCAATGCATAACAAAAGTCTGGCCTTATATTGTAGATACGTGGTACATTAAAATATCAATCTAGAGATGGTATGATGTTGTCTACCTTGGGAAGAAAATACGAAGTTGTAATTTGAAAAAAAGTGGCACACTCGGTACCCAGGTGTTAGCAGTCTTCTTGAGAAAGACATCGTGGAAGCACTGTATGGCGGGATCGAGACTGACGAATTGCCCCACCCTCGAGCCACCGATTCGCGTGCCTACACTACCCCAGGAACGCAAAACACGCTGTTGACGCGGACTCTTGCCTGAGCACAGCGCCTGCAATCTAACGGTTATAGCGGTAACCGTTGCATGTTGTTTAACTAATAGCATTGTGCCGTATGTAAAAGAGATATGGAGGACAGGGATGATTAAATTGACTGCTACAGTTACCAACATCAGCTATAATCATGCGTATGCTAAATTAAGTAAGTATTCCTTTCTGTGATAAGCAACCGTCTCAATGCTTAATCCTTCACATTTCAGCTTTCAGAATAACTGTTAAGATTAAAGTGCCGTAATTAGTTAACTACACTTATTCCCCTTTGATATAAAAGTAAACATACCAATTAACTGAGTGCCGCCTTCCACCGTAGTCTCAGCCTCCGCTCACCGCCTTCGCCCCACCAACTGGACCCATCGAGCTGCCAAAACGAAGTGAGTGATGAGCTAGAGGTTATTAGGAGTAGTGACAACAACAAATGTTGGGCATGTGTCTTTCAAAGTTAGATGGTGATCCTTGCCGTCGGACTGCAAATCGGAGGGGTTTGGATTAAGAAGAAAACAATAAAATGCCCAGTTTAACAAAATTAATAATCACACTTGCGTATAAAAGGGCATAAAATGAAGAAAGCTACACTAATTCCTCCATCATGTTTGTGTTGCGGGGAGCAGTAGGAAGGCTCAGTACCTCTGACATCCTCATCACTTTCGTCCTTTGTTGACAGTGCTAAGTTAATCTGTGAGGAGGCCGTGCAGGTGCTGCATGGCGGCGTCCATACTGACGAAGCGCTCTGCCCTCGAGCCGCCAATATCCGTGCCTATGCGGCCCCAGGCACGCAAAACTCGGCGTTGACGCGGCTTCTTGTCTGAGTGCACCACCTGCAATCCAACAGTTATAACAACAAGTATCATCATGCGCATACAGGATTGGACGGGTATTCCTTCCAGTGATAAGCATCCGTCTCGATGCTGAGGTCCTTCAGATTTCCATTTTGAAAATAACTGACAAGATTGAAGACCTATCGTTAGTTAATTGCACTCATTTGTTTGATATAGCTGAATAAACTAAATAACCGAATGCACGAATACTGCAAACCTAAGAAATAAAGCCTAAGGGGGGAAGAAAAGGAAATACGGGAATCTGACCTGCAGTGCCAGTTTTAGACGAGGATGAGGTCAATCATGCCAAGGACGACGGAGAGCGGACGACCGTATACGGTGCAAGCGACGGTGGCGCAGTCCTTGGGATGAGATCCACTACGGCATCGCCTTTCACACGCAGCCGCTGCACTCCATCGCTACCGCCATTTGACACCGTCTCGAACTCCACTCTCCGCTTTCGCCCCACCGACTGTACCCGCTGAGCTGTCAAAACGAAGTAAACCAGTAAGAGCAGAAGGCTGTCTAGACTAGTGACACTACCCAATGGCAGGCATGTCTTTCAAAGTTAGTTGGTGGCCCTTACTGCCGCAGCGCAAATCTAAGGGGGTTAGATTACGAAAGAAATCATAAAAGACCCGATTTAACTAAATTAATAATCTCACCCAGGTCTGAGAGAAGAATAAAATAGGGGAAAGAGAATCAATTTCCCTCACCATGCTTATAATGTGGAGAACAGTAAGGAGTTCAACACCTTCGACATTGCCAAGCTAGTCCGTGAGCAATACAATAAGCCGTAGTTAGATTGTTTTCCCTTAATACACATACTTCTTAAAATATTGTTCGCCTTTGATAATCTACCAACATGTCTGGGAAGCTCAAGTGTAGCCCACAGCGTGACAAGTGAGTCAGCTATATTGACAGCTAAAAGGCAAGTCGTTTCCTCAATTAACATAACCAACTTATTTTGTCGCAAGATTTCACATCGAGTTATGCTCAATGATAGGCGAATATGGTCGAACTACAGAGAGCAAGCAGGGGAGACCAACAAGCATACGCAAACAAAACGACACCTACGTATCAGGGCCTAAAAATTAAAAAATTTACCAACAAATTTATCATTTTAAAATCATTACGAGCACTGTGCGACAGTGTTTGTGAATAATTGTCTAAGGGTAGAAAATGAGCACAAGTTCGTTAACGGGAAAACAGATTACCCACGGGAGTTGACCCGAACTCAGGCGCGCTACCTGTGAGGGTGAAGGACGAAATGATGCCACAGCAAAGATTTATATTTAATATGACACAAAGCCGATATCATTCTCTTCTCGATCTCGGGCTTAAAGAGGTATACTATTTGCACGCCACTTCTTCAAGAGTATATTTAAATTTGCGATAACCGCATGCCGTTCAGGCCAAGCTGATTCCTTTGCTGAAACAACGAATCATCGTTGGGTTTGAGTTACAATGAAAGCTTTAGCACGTGAACACAGAAAACTGTCAGTAGTTTGCAAACGTGCATCATTCCAGATAACTTCAGCCTGAAAATTGGCTCAAAGGGAGAGATCTGAGACAATGGGAAGGAGGCATTAGAGATGGGGCAGTATCAGTATCATGTACATCAACAGCAGCCTAACGTTACTACCACTCCGCAAACGTTGTATTATTCAGGAAAAATCAAGGCGACCAATGAAGAACCCAGAATAAAAAGGACAAATGTTACAAGTAAAATTGTCTCGAGACCCCCTCCCCTCGTAAGCAGACCTTTGACCAAATTATTATACGCTTTCAGTATGTTTTATGAAAAAGAAAATGTACTGACACCAAGTTCATACATATATTTTTAAAAGCCGTCTCGCGCAAAGAAAATAAAACAACAAAACAGTACAACATCGATTCCCCATCAAAATATTGGCCAAATGATGATGCAGAGCAAGATGACATGTGAGAAAAGCAGTCAGCGTCATCCTCAATGCACGACTTAATCGGCGTGTCTAGTACACATTTCTTTTCCCATTAAATGATCCTTTAAAATAGTCTAACAAAATTTTAACGTGACCCAGAAGTTGCTCAACGTTGAGCTCCGTGGCCTACCCTGGAGTGACAGATAGAGTGCTTGCAAAATGAAATAATGAATTCCAGCTTCCCGAAATGGCAAAGGCGAACTACGTGAACATGAGACCCGGTCATAAAGTGACACTCACCGCAGAGAAGAGTAAACCGCCAAGGACCCTGATGCTGGCGGCAAGATGGTGCTAAATCAAATCCTCAAGATGGGGTCCACGGTCGAGGGAGAGGTATAGACCTGCCAGCTGCGTCCTTTGGTCAAATGTCCCACCAAAAGTACTCAACCACTCTGCAAACAAACGCACGCCCAGTTTCCTCTTGTATGTCTTCAATAACAGGGAGAGGGTCACTATGATCTCTATTTCTCTCTTCTTGTAGAAAAGCTCCACAGGTTCTTTGCCAGCCTCAAAGGAAAAAATAACCACCACAAATCAGATAACTTATTTCTTCCTGATGACACAAACACTTGCACCACAGACCCGACAGATTTACCTGCCATTCAGATACCAACAAAAGCTAATATTTCTAATATTAAGAACATCCTCCATCCATTTTCATGCAAGCTTAGCCAAGCTATTTTCTATATGACTTGGTGCAGTCGACCACTGTAAGTTGTTAGACAACACTGCACGTATTGATAATGACACGTAGATAAGAGAATTGGGTATTTTGAAATAATGAAGGCACTGTAAGAAAAGACCGATGTCGAATGCTCACCGGACATGGGGCATGAACTCCGAAGCGCTTAACGACTAATAGAAGACAGGACGTCATGGTACTCTTTGGGGGCACAGAAGGAGCTGTGAGCAACAGAAATGGCATAGGCTGCAGTAGCGGAGAAGAGACAGGGCGCCCAGTGGTCAATGAGACGGGAGCAGTGTCTGCAACGGCATCGAGGGGGACCACGCGTCCCAAGGGCACCAGCTGAGAGTTGAACTCAAACAGACCAGCCAACGCACCTGTCCACGCTTCTACGACCAACTACTCTCCACGGCGCCACTATTCGTTGCTCTGATTCTAGAAGGACCCAACATGAGCACTACCCCATTAACAGCATCGCATGCGCATCCTTGCCTACTTCGGGGAGTCAACAGACGGCGTCCATACCAGTAGCGTGGGATAATACAAAAAGCTTGCCCTCAAAGCATCTTTAAATGGCCCTACCTCGTCTACCGGTAATTTAAATTTTTCAAACAGAGCACGATTTCAAGATTATTTGATCATTTGAAGGCCTAATATGCAAGTAAATGTGAGAAGAGCGCACTATTGAGAATGAAAGAGGAATCTATTAGGTTCCAGGGACACAAGACAACGTTTTAACAACCACTGTACTTTTAGAACGAAATGACTTAAATAGAGACATGGTTAAGTTGTATAAAAGGCACTACATTAAAACACGAGACAAACTTACGACTTAACACCAGTTGCTGAAGTCACATGTTCCACAAGGGAAAGTATTCCCAAAAATACTTCAAAATATCTCTTCTGGGATACTTTTGTCCTCTCAACCTTTCACCCACGGAGAATGCATTCTGGAAGGTAACTGCATTTAGCATTTCGCAATACCTTCAGTCCTCCGACAAATCGAACATTTGTCACAATTATGTATATTCGGTTTAATATGGAATGTAAGAAACTGAAATCACCCACCTTTACCTCCTGAATCCTCCACTGATCTTCAAGTTTCAACTAGCAAAAATTATTTATACCATTTGCTTAAAAGACTAAATTCCTTGAAAAAGCACCTGCATTCATACCAAATGTTCATTTATCCAGTGAATACATGGGGCTGAACAGGAGCCTCTACCCCTAACGAGTCCATTGTAGTGGTGCCTCTACAGAATGGATGACTTGGTTGATTGCTTTTCGCACATCCGGCTTGATATTTACGGTCTGAATTCAGTATGGCAAAGAGCAGGAAAAACACCACACCAAAACGACTTTGAAATTACCACCTGTGCCCCTTAAATTTATTGGCCGATTCGAAAGAACCGATTATTATTCGTGACTCATTTACTTACCATTTTTGGCTAGAAATTCTGCAAATTTTCATCAAACGAGCATAAAATTATATGTGCCTTTTAGTAATCTGTTTGCACATGTGTAGTTTATAAGTGTAAATATTTATGAACGATATGTCCAATCAATCTAATAACGCTTTAAATGCAAGTATGTTAATTCAAGTGAATGTGAGAAATGCTTGAACTATTTGTTAAGGCAAGGATTTCGGT